AAGGTTAGTTATTTCTGGTTTATTGTGCTATTCTAAAGGTTCTAAAGTTAAAATCTTGTTTTCTTTTTTTTTTTTTTGTTAGTGACATGGGGGCAACGATTAGTATAGGAAATTTTAGTGTCTGTTTTGCAGTGAAAAAAACATTGATTTGAAAATTCTTGCAAAAATCAAATAGTTTCTTAAATATCCAACAATTATCGGGACTTATTCACAGATGAATGAAATTATTATACAAATGTTTTTTGTTAAAAAAATCTTGGTGAAAATATATATGTAAGTTTTTATATTACCATATATACTTGAATTTTCATAATCATTTTTTTTTTACACAAGAATATAGGGGCTCAGACAAAACATAGGTATTTTTTTTTTTGAAGAGATTAAAAATCATGCCATTTTGGTGACCTATACATAGGTAAATTTTTTTCTGGAGGGGTTAAAAATGATGCAAGAAAATTCAGAGGTCACACTATACAAGAAGTTGGTTTATGCATCACTATATATTGTAAGTTAAATCCTACTGCTCAAGAAGAGGGGAGTGCCCATATGAAAAATCTGGTTTTGAAATCTTACCTTTTTACCCAAGTTGGTACACATACTTTTTGCATTGGTAATAAATAACTATTTTAAGCACCTGTTGTAGATTTTAGTCCGGTACTGCCCTGATAGTTTGGTATAAGGCCAAAATAGGAGAGTGCATAATTTGGTTGATATTCCTCTGCAATTCTTTCCAAGACTAGCTTCTGAAATATTGTTCTCGGGCAAGCATTCTAAACTGTAGCTTATGAGCTCTGTTTGTTCCGAAGAATGTTTTGTGTTTCCCTCTGATAGTTACTGGGCAGTTTTCCAAAGACACAGTTCACTAAAAGTTGATTTTTAAAGTAGACTCTATCAACATTTGGCTAACCATTTCATGCGTGTGTATGTACATGCGCACATTTGCTTGCCATTCTACAAAGGCTAAATGGTGCTTAAAATAAACACCATCTTTGCTCTTTTGCAAAGGATTTTTTTTATTGATTTATCCTGTTTGGAGTGTATTTTATTGGCTTCAAGGAATAACGTATGAATGCTACTTCTAATGAAAAGCAATTTTGATTCAGAGTGAAATTAATTTTAAATCATTTTTTAAAATGTACATGTAACAAGTAATTAATTGATTGCTGAGAAAAGTTTTTTTTTTTCTCTTCTTCAAAATAACATTAATGATTATCACCAACTTATTATGAGATAAATGGCTAAGACAGCATGTCAATATCTTATCTCTTCCATTTAATCTAATATCTTGAAATTTAACCAAGCAGAAAAAAGTTTATTGTATAACATTATCATCATGCATTACTAATGAAGGCACATGACTAAATCTATCAAGCACAACATTAGTATTTATTTTATTCTACAATCACTATTGCCCAGCAGGAGTGTGATTTTGTATTTTCTAAATACAGACTGTGCATTCTCACATGGATGTAAGGGGTTCTCATCCTCTATGGGGTGGTTGTATATATATGTGTGTGTATATATATATATATATATATATATATATATACCCTTGTGCAAATTAATTGAAACAAAATGAATAATTCTGTTATTATTTACTTTTTTTTTGTATTTTCCCAATGAAACATGACCCAGTGCACATGTTACTACTTTGTATATCCATTCCACAAAGTTGTTCCTTACAGATTGACCACAGATTCTCGATTGAATCTATAGTACTTTGATTTGCTCATTGGTAAGGCTTAGATATCAATTACACCTTGTCACTCCAGTGGATCTAAAACTGACCATATGGTGAAAGAAAGGAAACTAAAGCAGTTGTTTCAATTAATTTGCACAAGGGTTTTTTATATATATATATATATATATATATATATATGGTGAACCAAATGTAGGTGGACAGTAAATAACATTTATCTTGAGATTAAATCCTAATACAATTAATTATTTATCAACAATTAAATTTTATTTTATACAATAATGCAATACAAAAGCCCTGAAAATGTTATCAATGCAGGTGCTCAAAATTGTTGTCCATCACAATCTACAGAGCTTTAAAGTCTACCTTCCATGTTTTGACAAACATTTTTGCAGAAGCATCTTTGTGTATTAATTTCTTGAAATGATGTTCTCTGGTGTAATTTTTTAAATCACCAACACTTTGTGGTTTTCGACTATAAACTTTGTTCTTGAGTACTTCCCAAAGGAAAAAAAATCCATTGGAGTTAAAGTCAGGTGAACATGCAGGCCAATCAATTGAACCTCTTCGGCGAATCCATTTCTCAGGAAATATTTCATTATGATACTCACGACTACTCTTAAATAATGTGGATGAGCCCCATCTTGTAAATAAAGTTCATGTGAGTTAGGCTTTTCAACCTAAAAAACTTCAATTTAACTATAGAAATTAAAGTACCTAATTCTGTTTATCCTCAAGTGAATTTTGGAATAACAACTTTTGAAATTTATAGAGCTTTATAAGCATATACATTCATAATATTAATTTCTATGGAAACGGAGAAAACCAATCATTATAATAAGGGGCAGCAGGGTTTACATTTTCACCGACAACTATTGTATCAACCTCTTTTTGAAAGTAACTAATATGTTAAGTCAAGGTAGGGTTGGGGGTACCCATTTTCAAATGAATGCTGTCATCCGTTCAACGCATATCGTCTGGTCTAATTCAACAACAGAGTTTTTGGCACTTTTTGTTACACTGTTAAATTTGTATTTGTATACATAAAGATTTTTTTCAAAAAGGTTGTTTGTATATGAATATGTCGTATAAAACTACAATTTGTTTTTTGATGACTTCATAAATTCAATGAGGAGGCCCGACGTGGTTTGGGTTCCTTGACAATTACCAATTCCTAACAAAAATTCTCTTTGTTCTTAGGCCAGGAAAATTAATTACTTTTCACTTCGGGGGTTTCTCCCTTGTTCGTGAGGAAAGGTTGGAGGAGACTTATCCTAGACTCTTCCTCTTTCACATTGGTATCTCATACCAATCCCCTCAATTAGTGTTAACAACTTCCCTGTCTTTCTCATACATTCACCTCCGCCTATCACCCATGCTAGCACTTAGCCAATGATCTCTCAGAAGTGTAGGTGTGGCTAGACTGGCCCTCTTAGAATTATTCCAGAATTTTGTTTACAAAAACCTTTTTTTTTTTTTTTTTTCTTTTCCTTCAGCCAAAACATTTACAAATCCCAGATTGCCAATTAATTCTTTATCACATTCCAACTCCACTTAGCTCGGACCTCTACTGACTCATTAATCATTGTCAAAAAACTTGGGTTCTCCGCTAGTCAACTTTTAACTGGGTGGTCGTGTTTACCTGATAATTAAATTCTTTATTTTTCTCATGTCTTAAAATTCTCTTATCGCCAGAGGCTCATTTTTGAGATGCTATGTCTGATGTCAACAGTTTGAATAAGCAATAATAATGATCCCCTTTTCGATTTTCCTTTTCATGTCAAGATTCGTGCATATACCAGATGGCTTCCCTCGCTGAAACCAGGAATTAAAGTTAAATGATATCTCTGAAAGATAATTAACACCTACTCTCCAGGGTGGTCTCAGGCCAAATTTTTTCCATGTCTGCATGTGTCGGATGGCTTTTTCTTTCAGAATTGTTTCGTTTAGCGTGTCACTCCCTTATCATGACATTAATTAATTTTGACAGAATCACAGTCTCGCTTTCTCTTAGGGATTTTCTGTCTTTTGCGAAAAAGTACCTTTCTCTTGTAAATAAGATAAATTCTTTTTAATGTCGCTCAGTCTATCTTTCGATATAGCTCTTTCTTGCCTTGAGCATTTACCGTTTTTAATTTCCAGGGTTAATTAGTTAGCCAACTATAGATAAATAGTGTCACAGTTTTGCATCAATATATTCAAAATATTCATCTAAAATTATTTTAAGAAATAAATTGCTCAAGTGTCTGGAGAAAGACAAAACATTGTTAATATTCAATGTCATAACAATTTTGAAAATTTTTTTTTTTTTTTTTTTTTTACATCAAAAGGAAAAATACATTTTCCATGAAAAAATAAAATAAAAAATTTTCTTTTTTTTTTATTTAAACATTTTTTTTTTTTTCTTTAAACATATTTTGTTGAATTCATAATTTAAGCATTTGTAATTTCTAGTTTATTAAAAAATGCTCATTACATATACAATTTTCTGGAATTTTTGGAAATCCAACTTGTGCAATTAGAATGATTCACACATTTGTTTGAAATGCTTTGCTCATCTCTCAAATACATCTATTAACCATTCAAGAATAATGTTAGTCATCAAGTTGAATAGAATAACCAGAATAGCTGTCATGCATGTTGTTTAGGCTCAACAACAATAGAAGCAGAGCTGTCCTGCTAACAGTTTCACCTATGGATGGTTAATGTTATTTTTTTTATTTCTGCTAAAACAACAAACTCCTATTATTTATACTACAAAGTCCCTTCCAAAAAAACAAACAAACAAAAAACTGTTGAAGGAATCAAACTGTGAAATATTACTTTATTTAAAATAATTTTTATTGATAGTAAGAACTTGTAGAAATAAAATGATGAAAGCAGATTAGAAAAAAAAAAATACCTGTAGGTATTAAATCTATATATTAGTATCGGAGTATCTACCTACCTACTTAAGGTGTGTGTCATGATCCCCATTCTTTGGGTTTGTTTCTTTCCCTATTCTATTGCGTGAGACTGATCCTAATCAGAACAGTCAATCTATATGTAAATTAAACCCATCATTTTTTATGTTTAGTAATTGATTGATTTATTATTAATAATCAACAATAACATTTGCTTATTTGTTTATTTTTTAAAAGCCATGTTGTTATTTTCTTCCTTCATTTTAAAATTGCATGATAATCAAGATTTTTTATAGAGTTAATTTGTCAGCTAAGGCTTGTTAAAAGTCATTAAAAAAGTATATTTCAAACTGAAATTCACAAATCATGACGAGAAGTTCAAAAGTGCTCAGCAGAAATTAGTGATAAACATCCATGAGTGATTTTACAGTCAAGGCATTCTTCAGCTGGTCTGCTTTTATGTCTTCCCAGGCAAAGAATTTAAGTACTTTCTTCTTACACATCATCAGGAACCCATTGTCAGAAAAACGGCCACGTATTCCAGGTGCCTCAAGCCAAACAAAAGGTGCAATTTTATTACTGCTTAAAGAAATGGAAAAAACTCGCTTTTTTTTCTGCTTCTGAACGGCTGTTACATTTATCACCTGTGCAAAAATTCAAAATGGAAAATGTTAAAAGCATTTAAAAACAATGTTGTAATTAGATATTAATATATATGAAAAAAAATGTCTGTTGCTGCCATATTCTCCACAAACGTTAATGAAGCCATGTGTAAGAACCAGTTTATTAGAACTTTAAAAAAAAAAAAAAAAAAAAAAAAACACTTACCCACATATATATATATATTCTAGTTATTGTTATTATGCTTTCTATATTTAATATCGGGGCATTTATAGCCAGTATTCTCTAAAGCTTTATTATAAAAATTGCAATAAAATGTATCTTCATTGCTATGCTGTTTACCAAACTATACATCCATTTACTGAAGTCAAAAAGGACAACTGTATTTAAAATAAACATTGCATGTTACATGAGTATATATGGTGAATTTTTTTTATATATCAAGAACAATTTTAGAGAAATCTATGACAAAGTGGAAAAAGCTTTTGTTCTTTAGGACTTCAGACTAAAGAGATGTTTACTTATAAGTGATAAAAAACAAACCAAAAATAAACTAAATGGAATTGGCTTAACTATAAATCCAAAATATATTTTAAAAAAAAAAAAAAAAAAAAAAAAAAAAAAAAAAAAAAAAAAAAAAAAAAAAAAAAAGGAAAAAAAAAAAAAAAGGAAACTTAAATTATCAGTATACCCAGTCTTTTAAATGTATATTTATCCGCATCAATGTAATAACATCACTTTAGGCCAATAAAGTCCTAAAGCATTTTCCACTTTTCCCTACAATAACAAATAGTGATGATAATGTTATAATGGTAGAAGTAAGTAAGAACTTCAATGGCTACACACAGGACTCGGGAAGTGAAAGTAAATTAAACAACGTCTGCTGGTGCTGCTAAGATGTGATTTGGTGGTTGCTTCTCTTGAAATAAATCCCAGAAGTTGGTAACCATGTGAGGTTTTAAAATGTAAGAGATAAGGATCCTATCACCAGCAATAAAAAAACCCCAAAAAACAGAGCAACTCTGGAGAGGTTCAGCATGAAAAGCCCAGATAAAAAAACAGGTTTTCAAATGCCATTTCAAAGGTCAGTGCAATCAAATCTTTTTATCCACCCATTTCAATAATGTCTCATGAAAGTAAAATAAAAGAAAATGTTTATCATTAAAAGCAGAGAAATTTATTTTTCTAACTGAAAATGGTAAAAAAATGTTGAATTGTATTATGATTTTATTTGTTCTTTACTTACAATGTACATCACACCCTGCTATCATCCGAGATAAATTATTGAACAATTCTTTTTTTAATCATGCATGACGAAAGATAAAAGTAAAATATATCAGAGATACTGTTTAGGTTTAATAAGAAAAATATAGCATACATAATGAAAATGTTCACAAATTCAACATGCCTCACTTTTATTAAAGCCCCATCAAAAAAAGATGGAGGACAAAAGAAAATTTTGGTATTTTCATATTTGTGTTTTTAGGGATTTAAAGGAAGTAATAACACAAATGAAACCATGTCAGTTTTGAATTTACATTGGTGTCTGCTTAAATAAAATCAAAAGATGTTACATTTTTCAATACAAATACAAAACATTTATAAATTTAACATTTTTTGCCTTTATTAAAGCCCCATCAGAAAATGAAATATGGAGAAAAAAAAAAGAAAATTCTGGTATTTTTATATTTGTTTTTCATTGTTGTCTCCTTAACCAATGAAAAACAAACACAAAAATAAAAACACCAGGATTTTCTTTTCAAACAACACAAATATAAAAATACCAAAATTTTTTCTCCTCCATTTCTTGATGCGGCTTTTAATAAAAGTGAGGCATGTTGAGTTTGTGGATGCTTCTGGTTTGCTTCTTATCCAATTCGTAATAATGAAAATAAACAGTTTCTCCACCTGCAGCAAATTGCATAATTCACACTGCTGAAGAATTTCAGTCTCTGTGAATGTACCAATGCATCTTCACAAGTGAGATGAGTGATTTTATGCAGTCATCATCTCTAGAATGGTTTCTAATCAAAGTTATGGAACTAAGTCTGTCCTGCTATTTAACCCATAGTTGGGGGGGGGAGAAGAGATGGATTCATACCATTCTCAAGGGTGTGTGTAAGTGAATGTAATGAACTTAGCTGGAATTTCTCATTTTGAGCTACAATCCATTACACCACCCACACATCCATAATAATGAGAAACAAAGAAGAGAAAGGGAAGAGAAAGGAAGTAATAACACAAATGAAACCATGTCAGTTTTGAATCTTTTCATTTGTACTCACTTACTTCTTTAAATAACTGCATTCTTAATTATGATTGTCATTACAATATTTTGTTAAAATTGTTATTCTCAAATATTTAATGATGCAACAAAATTCTATTTTGTAATTGTGGAACTTACAAGGAACTTATTCACTAAATAAAAAATTATGATTCATTAGAAAATTAAAATAGGAAATCATGAAATTTTCGAACTGAACCCTTTATTTTGCTCACTGGGATACACTGTTCTAGTTCCACGTGCTATATTTAATGGATTAGTTATCAGTTATCCACTGTGGATGTTTGGTGAGAAGTAAGTTCCATTCAAGCAGATTCTTTCCACAAACTCTGTGGAACCAACTCCCAAGAGGATGCTTCCCCAATCATTACAATCTCAACCTGTTCCCCACATATCTGCACAAACTGTACCTCTTACTCTGTAACCTCAAGTGGCTCCCAGAGTAAACCTCACTGTAAAATATATTTTATTTTACGATATTACATCTAAAATAAATAATATAGCTCTACTTTTGTATTGAGGCCTCTTAAGTTATTTTTTTTATGAATGTTGGAATTTATATTCAATTCGTTCTCATTTCATATGGAGATTATATAAAAACATCAATACCTTGATTTTAGCAAATGGAATTCCTGATCCAGGTTTGAAGCGATCAAGTGGCAGCCAGGAATTTGGTCCAGATGTTAGAGATTTTGTATAAAAGTACAGGAAACATTGTGACTTTTGAGGGCATTTGCTTTCCTCCATAATTGTTTTCAAGGGAATTTGAAACACAGTATCAGCTGTTTTGTTTAACTGAAAGAAAAAAAATAGAAAAATTAAGAATCTATATGATTGTTTGCATTTTAGCAAAAAGGTTTCATTTATTCAAGTTTGGTTAAAAAACATCTAATGTTATGAATTCTCCACCTGAACCCTGAAATTTTTTTTTTTCCTCAATAGGAAAAATAGGTTTATCTATTATCCAAGTCCACACTCCTCCCTGGTCTTATGAACAGGAGTAGAGGTTTATCCCTTGTTTCCTACTGAGGATTGAGATTCATATTTATTAAAATAAAGTATGGATGCTCTCTTTTTTGTGCACTTAGTTTAATTAAGCTGATTTTTTTAGCATTTTCGTGGAGGTACCTATTTAAAATGCAATGTAAAAGAAAACTTAAAGGACTTAAAAACTTTCAGAAGAGTTAGGTCTATCAAAAGACACTATATCAGAACCATTGTATTAGGTTAGGAAAAAAAAGAAAAAGAATAAAAAGCTTTTGAGAATTCAAAAGCAACAATACTTTTGATACATCCTAAAAATATGCCATTTATCATAGAGTATTTCATAGCAAATAATGCTGTAATCAATAATTTTTTTCCTGTGTGCGTGTTTTCTTTTTATGGTTGAGTTGAATAACTCATAGCCAAGCAGGTTAAACATAGTAGAAATTAACAAATAACAGCTATTTGTTAATATGCACTTCATTTTTCATTGAAAAACAACTTATTAAATATTTTATCCTATAAGTTGATTTTGGTCCCCAAATTCAATCATTCCCTATGGACGGTGTGACTTGTAGGTGGATACAAATGAATTTTCTGTAAGTTGAAGGAAAGACCAACAAGTAATTCAGCTTTTCTTAGAATTTTAAAGAGTAAAAAACAATTTATTCTACAATCAAACAAAAAAAAAGAAAACACTCTACACTAATTTAATAATTAAAAGTAAATATTTGTTTAAAGAATGTGATTTAATTAATTTTTTATTAATATACTTTGATAATTGTAAATTCAGTTTCAATTCAATTTTAATAGAATTAAAGTTTTGTTTTTCAATATACTTAATCAGTTGATTTGCAAAAAAAAAAAAAAATCACTTCTGTAAAAGATCTGTCAAAAAACGTTAATATTGAATAGATTTGAAATATTTTCAATCTAAGGTAGGTAACTCATATCTAACGAGTTATCGCCCTTAAAATGTTTATTCATTTATTGTTGAGTTATGTAATTAAAAAGTCTTTCGTTCATTTTTTTCTTAAAAAAAAAAAAAAAAAAAAAAAAAAATTAAAAATATTACTCCCATTTTAAGATGGTTTCCTGACATTCATTCTCATTTATATAAAATTGCAGTCCTTAGCAATGAAATGAAGTATGCATTACCCACATAATTACTTGACATTTTTCTGCTTTATTTGAATAAAATATTCTCACTCTATCCTTAAAATATTTTATTTTTACATCTTACATGGCTGTTTGAATATTATTAACTATGCACAGATCTCAGCCAGCATCATTTTTATACTAGGATTTATCCAGTCACTATTATTAATATATGTAATTAATTATGGGTGCACAGATTTCAACCAGCATCGTTTTTATACTAGCTATATCGTTAATTGCTTAACTTCAGTTATCATATGGGAACTGGTGTTTCAATATTGTGTGGCTGTAAGCATTTATCAATATTAAGATAAATCAAGTTTAATTATTAAAAACTCCATTTTTTTTTTTTTTTTTAAATTTGATGCCCTAAAGCAAATTTAACCTGTAGGATGCAGGGAATCAAGTTTGAGATCTAAAAATCATTCTAGTTTAATGATTCAGGCAACTTTACAATAAATTATATTACCAATTTCCTAACAAAATAATAACCCAACCCAAAACCAAATAAAAAAAAAAAAACTCATAAATAACTGTCATTGTCTTGGGTTTGAACAAAACTTTGTGGCATCTTTCAACATGCATCATCTCAATATAGGATTTTGTTTCATACACAATTCAAATTTATGTCATACATATTCTGGGAAACACACCGAGTTTTATACTTACATAGTAATTTTTTATCCATGTTTTTAATGGGTTCCTGTTTTTCCATTTGTATACCTGGATGTGTAATTTACCAGAAAGAATACGAGACCGAGCACCTTTTCTTTGAAAATATGGAACCAATGAGAGAGTGTAGTTTGTCACTATCCTCTTCTCTTTTACAGGAATTCCATCAAACACCATATCCACATTAAGCACATCTTTGTTATCAAAGTATGGTGATATTAACTTTGGTGCAAAGAACTTTCGAGAGAAATAATGTAGCATTTTCCAGGTTCCATCGTATTCTGTAAAATGAAATAAAAATGGTTAAAATTAGCTGCAAAAGATTTTTTTTTTTCAAACAAAAAATCTGGATAATTGTAGATAAAATTTAAGGCTTAATAGCAATGATAATACTTGCCATTTCCTTATAAGGAAACATTTGGTATTCATTGACTGAGCAACCAGTGCTTCTTTTGGTTGAAATTTATTAAATTTTCCTCTTCAAATAATCTTTCAGAAAAATAGGTTTCTCAAGTCCAGTAGCTGCTATTGCTATTTCCAGTATTGACAGGAGTCTTTCTTCCTAACCTTTTGCTTGTGGAACATCAACATCTTTATTATGTCATTATTCTCTCTTCAAGTTACATATGCTATCCATTTTAGTAGTTACTGCTATTGAAAGTCCTCAAATGATATGGTGTCTGTTATCTGGTACAGTTATTTGTTTATGATTCTGTTGTACCGATCTGTGAAGTTGGCAATAGGATGGTTCTTGCTGAGACGTACAGGTTTCACTCACTCATTTTTAACCTTTGAACTTGATAGAGCAGTTGTATACAGGTGATGGTTTAAATATTTCTGAGCAAGTTAATAGTTAACAACTCAGAAAGAGAAATCAGTGATTCAAGTTCAAATTCTTGTTAAGTTCATTATGTTCACTTTTGTAGAAACCCCCTTAGGAAAGTTATGAATCCACCTATTTTTCTCCCCTAGTTATGGGTTAAATATCAGAGTTGACTGGACTCTTGAGATGGCATTCAGTCTAGGAGAATGAAAACTGAACATAAATTAGCCTGAAGTAGGATAAGCTATAGCTGAACTACATGGATTAGGTGATGTAATGGTGTTAGTATAGGTCAACAACTCTGAAAAGGAAATCAGTGACCCAAGTTCAAATTCTGGTCAAGTTCATTATATTCATTTTTGCAGAAACAACATTAATGTAAAGGAACTCACCAAGAGAAGACCAAGTTGGTCCCTGCCAAATATCATTCAGCTGCCAATAAAGGGCACCCATTGTAAGTCCTAAGCCTTCAACAAGTTGACTTTGGTGTCGGCGATAACTTTCTGTTTCAAAGCGGATGGCCATAGCTTGGTTTATCTGCAGAAACAAATATTTTAAAAGAGAAAACATGTAAAACAAATATTTTAAAAGAGAAAACATGTAAAACAAATATTATTGTATCACATTATCCACAACAAAAATACAACATTAACAAGAGACATGTATTTTTTAATCATTTCTTCCCAAGCAAAGCAATAAAGCCACTAAGATGCAGGGGTTACTGAGTGTGGGAGAATATGAGAGAGAAAAAAAAAACACTTAAGGAAAGAGAAAAATAAGATACATATTTTTTAATTATTTCACCGAAAACAAAGCAATTAAGCTGTTATAATCCAGAATGATGGTATTTCATCATTCTAAAAACAACCTTTCCACCAGTGATGATAAGGATATTTCAGCATCCTAAAAACTTGAAACCATGATTATAAAATGACCCTTGCACCCACAAGCAAGGTCAGTAGAGAAGAGTGGCAGTAGTAAGAAGAACTAACGTATCTTCTTCGCTCTGTAAAAATCAACAGTTAACAGTCTCAAATGCTACCCTTAACAATGAAATTCTCAGGACAAGCGAAAACAAGTTAGCACAAACTTTTAAAGAAACAAAAGCAACAATAACACTGAGAACATTTTTAACACATGCAAATACAATATCAGAAAAAGAAAAATACACATTATTGTCATTAATTTCAACATGTGTCTCAAAGTCTTATTGTTGTTATTGTTGTACATTTTTATTCATTTTGTTTTTAATTAAAAAAAAAGAGAGAGAGAAAGAGAAAAAAAGAGAGAGAAAAAGAGAAAAAAAGGATTCCTCTACCAACTACAAATACATACAATATATAAAAAATGTAATATATGGATCTGTTTGTTCTGTTATCCAGAATGATGATGATATTTCATCATTTTAAAAACAACTTTTCCACCAGTGATGATTGACAATAAGGATATTTCATCATTTTGGAAATAAACATAAAAATTTCCTCGTGTGAAACAACCTGGCCACCAGTGTTGATATATGCTGATGATATTTCATCATCCTAAAAATCTGAAACCTCATCATTATAAAAGTGACCTTTCCATCACAATCAAAGACAGTAGGGTCAGTAGAGTAGCAGTAGTAAAAAGAACAACACAGACGTCTCTTCTTTGCTCTGTAAAAATCCACAGTTAATGGTCTCAAATGCTACGCTTAACAACAAAATTCTCGGAACAAGCAAAAACAAGTAAGCAAAAGTGACAATAACACTGAGAACATTTTTAACACACACAATACCAATAATGAAATTGATATCACAAAAAGAAAAATACACATTCTTGTCATTAATTTCAACACGTGCCTCAAGATCTCATTCTTTGTTATTGTTGTACAATATTTTCATTTCATTTTTAGTATAAAAATGGAGAAAAGGATTCCTCTGTTAACTACAAATACACATAACAAAAGGATAGCTTACATTACACATATGCAACATCCGACCCCGTCACAAAGCCACAGGCAAGGGGTTTCCGAGTGTGAGAGAAAAATAAAAGAAGAGTAATTAAAAAGGCAGAAGATAATGATTGACGTGGCATTTAAATTTTTAAAGATCAAAGTTGATTGGAAAGCAAAAAGCCAGATGAGAGTTCCACAAGTGAGAAGTTTGAGAAAAGAAACCTGTTAGCATAGAACTTATGGTTACATCTTGCCATTTCAACTGTAAAATGATGAGACCTTGCTGCCAATACAAATAGATTCTTTTTTGGATCTCAAGAATCTCTAAATACAGACCATATGTGGCAGCAATAGTCAAAGAAATGATGAATGCTAGACTTATAAATATGTAAAATATGTAAGATTCTGGAGAGAAAAATTGTCTAGCATGGCACATTGATCTAATTATTAGTAAATAAAAGCAACGAAAGGGTTGCCTTCTACAGACTTGCATTTTTCAAATATAATACAAGCCAAACAGACAAAACTTGAAGATGTGTTCCTAATTACCATTTGAAATTCTTCATGAATTTTTTTATAGCCAAATAGAAGACAAAAGACTTGGTTTTTAGTAAAATGGCTGCCTCAAAGTATGAGCTATATTTTGGGTATTAAACAGGTACAGAAATTTAACTACCTGGGCAACAGAAACCATAACAGAAATTCCAAGGTACATAGTAATAGTGAAAGATGTCTTTCAGATCACGCTTCTCACTTGTGGAACTGTCTTGCAACTTTTTGCTTCCCATTTGGGTTTCGGAGAAGTTGCAAAAGGACAAAACATATTGAGAACTACAAGAGATGGTGGAAGTGAAGAGTCATGATCACTTACATCCTGAAGGGACATAGCACATAAAAGAAGAATAAACTAGAGTCAAAATTGATATCCCTAAATCTTGACCATGACATTATTCGATTCATCTGTATTATCTTAGCCAAAACACAAGACACTTCCAAGAATATCTACATGGGATGACAATGAGGGATGACAATGTTGATACTAGAAAGGAACAAACAAAAGAGGAATAAAAAAAAAATGGAATGGACAATATGAAGCAGTTAACAAAGAAAATTAAAAAAAAATAACTAGTTAATGCTCTATGAAACCAATATCTCCAAAACATTAGAAATCAAAGTAATGAAGCCAAACACCATAGACCAGAAGTTCTTAACCTTTTGATGATTCCAGACCCCCAACAGATTGTCCAATATGGTCCCATACCCACTTCACTTGACTGTCGAAATAATTATCACCAATCCTATTATTTGCCAATATGCATTCCAAATATTTCAATTGCTTGAATTTACTGTACTTTAGATATGAATTACTAGGAATAGAACAAGAAAAAACCGTAAGCATTGATAACTTTATTATATTTTTTTTACTGAAAGCAAAATAAAGTTATAATTCAGTTTTATTACACAAGAAAAAGGAAGAGAACATAAATGTGTAAGTTTTTTTTTAGTATCTCAACTACATAAAACAGACTTTTACCATACCCCCAGCATTTGGTTCCCATACCCACAAGGGGTATGGATACCCCCAGTTAAGAACCCCTGCCATAGACATTTAGTTGAAATGTGGAGGAAAGTAAAAAATCTTGATAGCATCGTACAGTTGAAAACCAAAACAAAAGCAATGTCCTTGTAACTTGCATTGAATGTTATTTGAACCAGTGACACTTGTCTATTACTGGAGACAATTCTAATTAGATGCCTTTAGTCATGATCTTTAAGGAGATGCAATTAGTCATATACCTTCACCAGATGTTTCCGGTACATGTGATATCAAGGTGTCAAATGTCTCCAAAATTGCAGAAATGTCATCTGTCATGTCCCTTCCACCACTTATGCCTTGTTCAAATTCCAATAATCCATGTTGCCTGGCTACAAGCAGGCCTACTAGCTGATGCTTACATTGACTTACCAGATGTCAGAGTACAACTGATATACATCTGGACATTTCTATGACTTCAAGTTATGGTGGTAGCACCTTCCATTACATTTACATACTACCATCTCATTAATTTTGGCACATCGGCATAAGCTGTTCAAAGCAAGAGAAAAAGAAAAAAGACCTGGTAATTTCTGCCAAGAAATTTGGTTGATAGAATCCATTATGAGCCAATCACATAAGGGAAAAAAAGCTGAATTGAAACTAGAATGACAAAGCAAGCATCGCTCCAAAGAAAACAAGCAGAAATTTATGATTCTTTTTTAGGATAAACTCATAAATTAAGTCATAAATAATTTCCGTTTTTCTTTATTAATTTTATTCTTAAAAATAAAAAAATAAAAAAAAAAAGTAGATTTTACTCAAATATCATTGTTTGCAATCAGGCAATTTTTGATACATTTTAAGTAAAATCCTTGCAGGTTTTGATGCAAAAAAATTTTTGACAAACTCTTGAATCTGGTTTTATGAGAGACAGTTTTTCCCCATCAAAGTGTTTTACTTAGTTGTTTAATGGCACATCGACTCCTTATGGGTCATTTAATGCTGAAATTTTATTTTCTTGGGAGAATTAGTAAAATTGCTGGTAATTGTTTTTTTTTAATGTATTGCTGGTATTTTTTTTATTTTTTATTATTAAAATATATTACTGGTATTTTTATACTTTCACAGTGTTTTGAACCCAGTTTGGGGGGGTAAACTATTTGCCTATAGTTGGGACCCTAACAGCTACTACCACCCCAGTTCAAGGTAGATTTGGGAACTACAGCAATTAAGAGATGGTTCCATGCTCCTCAAAACTTCATGGTCAGAGGCCTTGCTGTTGGATGTAGCTTATCGGCATATCCAGCACGATGACGGGTTTTGCAGCAATTGAAAAGATAATTGTTTACTGCAAGGTCAGGTAAATAGGGAAGACTTGGGGAGAGCCGACTAACCAAGTTCCAAAAGTTTTTCCAGTGTTGTTCTTTCTGTATGCAGTATTACATTGTTATAAAGGAAAACAACATTTTTCTTTTAATCCACTGTATACACTGCCACTGCTATACAAAAAGTTATGTACTCCAACTTCATTCTGAACTACCTCATATGATTTATAGCTAGGATTATACAGGGTGTGCTGGGTAAAGTGTCATCAATTTATATTTTTAATTTTGTTATTCGTTTTTGATTTTGTTGACTGCACAGTATAGTAGGGTCAGTTGGGCACCCTTTGTGAGAAAAAGAATACCATAACACAATTCACTCAGTCAGGAATTTGGAAATGGCATGCTGGCATTCATACTGGAAGCTCCAATACAAACATTTCAGAGCATTTTGGCATCAATCTGAAGGCAGTGCAGAGGATTCAGAAAGAGTTGGATGATATATCCAGTCAACATTATGGTATTTGGAGTGATCACTAGTGATGGCGATGTTATGCTTTCATCTATCCACAGGGCCATAGACTCAACATGGAGGCCTACATCAAGTGCCTTGAGGAGGTAGTGCTGACCTGGGTCAACTGGGTGGCTGCTGGAAAACCATATGTCTAGCAACAGGACTCTGCACCATGCTACATAAGCAGGAGAACCCAGTCATAGCTGTCAGACAATTTCTGCGACCACATCACCCCTTATGTCTGGCCAGCTAACTACCCAGACTGTAACTGCCTTGATTATTATGTGTGGAGTGCAGTCGAGTGGGAGAACAACAAAATTCTTTGTGATACTAAAGACGAACTGAAGGCAAGGATTATGGCAGCATTCACCAACTTAAACAAAGAGACTATCCAGAAGAGTTGTAAGAGATTCTGAAGTCATTTGCAGGTGGTGGCTGACGGCAATGGCAATTTTATTGAATAAATTTACTCTTTAGTATTTCAAGACAATTTAGTGTAATTTTGGTAAATATATTTGTTAAAATGAGATGTAAGTTCACCATTATAATTGTTGACTCACAGAAATTGAAATTACTTAGGACTCAAACTAATATATAAAAATATTGCATAAGAATTAAACAAAATTTATTGGCAAGAGAAGTTACAACACTTGACAGTAAAGAATCCAATATACTTGCCTCGTATTACGAGGAACTGACCTGTGTTAAGTAGATGAGTTTCTGAAATTCTTCAAGTTCATTATTTTTAACGAGGGGAGGTATATCAAAATGTTGCAAGATTTCAGCCTCCATTTCTATTTGACCTTCAAGATAAAAAAAAAGTAAAAACAAAACATTGATAAAAATCAAATTAATTACAGTCTTTAAATTGAATTTTGGGGATAAAGTATTTTCATTATTAACTAATTAGATCAAGGAAAATTCCATGGATATTGACAAAATTATCCATTATCTCATGCCACAGATAATCTCTCACTGTGTATCTTCCCATTCTCTCCCTTATCCCACTAGATCAACCAAAAGAAATTCCATGTGTAGCCATTCTTGGACAAAGTAAAATCTGGTGGAGTCTCTTCTCTTTCCAGGAGATTATATAATAAAATATAGTTTTAAGGTATGCTATTTTTTATGGGTTAAAGTGCTCAATATCAGGGATAGAGGATAGGTAAATATAAAAGGTGGACATTGAAGTCAACATCCAGAGGCGACAGTCTGTTTCAGGCCTGATGATTGTGTTTAGCATGAAACAGACAGTAGCCAATGTCTAACAGGCACTGACAATTGCATTTAAGCATGAAACTGGATGTTGGCTTCAATTTTCAATTTTTTCTTTTACATACACTATCCCTGATATTGAGCAATTTAACTCAAATATAGCATATCTTCAAACTATATATATATATATATATATATATATATATATATATATATATATATATATATATATCCCATTCCTCGATGTATTGATAGACAGTAGGAATAATAATACATTTACTATCTCTCCTTATAAAAAAAAAACAACTAGTATAAACATGTGCACTCTCAACTATAAATGTCAAATAAAAATGTCAATACATACAATGGCTTTAGTACAACAATGCTAACAAAAAGACTTACATTTCATTTGGCAGAACATAGTTAAATATATCAGCACTTAAATGATCACTCGTGCACACACTCACAGATTAGATGTATATATTAGTTGAAAATACATCTATATTACATAAAAACAATAACAAGCAAAAAGCAAAAATCTTTGATGCTCTTTATATAAGTGAGGTAAAGCTCTTAATATAAGTGAGGTAAAGCCCCAAATAAATAAAGTCAACTATGAGTATAGCAACAAAGTCCTTAAATGCTTATGAGAAAAAAAAAATCATGTATATAAGAACAAAAACAAAAAAGTTACTTCCTTTATGGTGGAAAAAAACCCAAAAGAACATGTGAACCTTGAAATCTAGAACATTGCATAAGCAGTAAAAAATGAACAGTTGAAAGGCTTTAAATTCGCAGAAACACATATACATACTCACAGACAACTTAACCTCCTGAAGATGGTCTCAGATGAGATTGAAAGTACTTGGGGAAATAAAAACTATTCAAAAGAAAATTTTTGTATTTTTTTTATTCAATTTTATAAATCTGCCAAAAAATGAATCCACAAACTTGAAAGGATCACAATGAAAACTAATCAACATCACGTCTAAATTATTTAACCAAACCTATATATATATATAAAACTATTTTTAACCAAAATAAACCAAATTATGATAAAGCCCTATTAAAAAGTAGATTTAAACAGACACTAAATTATATAGATAAGTCAGTTAATAAAACATCCACTAAATCCAAAAATAGGAAGAGGGAAATTATATGGTTCAACCTACCTTTTTGTAACCTTTCTAACATTAACATAAACTAATACAAAAACACTTTAGCAAAAATGATCTTTTAAAAAAGATATTCAACAAAATGAATTTAAGGATTAGCTATTCTTGCATGAACAATATTGAAAAAATTATTAGCTCACATAATAGTAAAATTTTGAGAGATTTTCATGACAATTCAATACAAATGGATCATAATGCAACCCAAATGAAAGTATCAACATGTAATTGCAGGACAGGATCAGATTGCCCAGTTGAAGGAGTATGCATGGTGGAAAATGTAATTTATGAGGCAACAATTTTCCCCGAAGAGAATTTTGAGCAGAAAAGGATATACATAGGAATATTGGCAGGAAGTTGGAAACATCAACTTCATAACCATCACCAGTCCTTCAAAGATAAATGTAAAAAGAACCAAACGGCACTGTCAAAGCATTATTGGGAGTTGTTGGATGGTGGCTTAACCCCACAAATAAAGTGGAAGATAATCTCGAGAGCCAGAACTCCAATAAATTTCAGAGACTTATGCATAAAAGAAAAAATCCTCATAATAAAACAAAGATCCGGATTTATTACTAAACAAACATAATGAACTAATTTTTAAATGCTGACATAAGAACAACCTAAATCTAACTAAATATATTTAGGAATAACTATATAGGAAGACTAATATTACATGATCTTGGTTTTTTGTTTTTGGAAATGTTGCCATGCACACATAAGTGCGAACACATAACTGTATGTATATAACTATGTAATTGAACTTGAACATTGATACGTCTTTTGATATGTATATGTATATGCGTTTATATGGAAAGATAGGCATGCATGTGTTATTTTTGTGTATTGTGGGCACATTTTTGGAGTGGGTGGGTATGGTTATGGATATGTCTGTATATATATATATACTTGTATGTATATAGGTGAGCTTTTTTTTTATATATATAGTTATATGTATATATGGGTGCATATATGTGTATGTGTATATGTGTGAATGTGTATGTATACAATTTTTTATAATTTCTATATATGTATGTGTGAGTGTGGGTGTGTATATATAGATGGGTACATGTATGTAATTCCATAGATAGTGTATGTATGTATGTATAAATATAAGTAGTTGTGAGTTCATATATATAATATGGTAGAATATAGATATAATAAGGTAATTAAGTATGGATTTTGATATGTTTTTTGCATGCACCCACATGTGGGTGTATATATGTATATTTGTGTGTATGTGTGTATATATATATATATATATATATATATATATGTGTGTGTGTGTGTGTGTGTGTATAAAATGTGTGTATGTAATGTGTATATATGTGTGTGTGTGTATGTAAATGTGTATGTATGTGTGTGTGTATGTAAATGTGTATGTATGTGTGTGTATATCTACATGTGTATTTGTGTATGTATGAGTATATATACACACACACACACACACACACACACACACGTGTGTGTGTGTGTGTATATATATATGTGAATATACGTATATATGTGGATATGCATGTATATGTATGTGTACAGATATGTGTGTAGATGTATATTTATGGATACACAGAATATTATAAAAGAAGGACTTACAGTTCTGTTATTAGTGTTTTATCTCATCTTCTCATTTAATATTCTCCAATTGGAAGTGTGAGTTTAAAATTCTTTATAATATGGAGGAAAATTTTTTAAATTGATAATTTAATTTAAATTGAAATATATTACCCTTTAATAATCATTATAAAATATTTAAATTGGAAAATTTTTTGATATTTATGTAGATGTTAATACATGAAGTTACCTGTGTATATCAGTACATGGGTACCTGTATGAGTGATTGAATATGTAAAGGAACCTGTGTATATGTGATATTTGCATGGGTGTGTATAAAGTATATGACAGAGCAAGATCTTTAATATTACCTTCAGATATTACCCCATATTAACTTAACTAATATTTAAGCAAAAGAGATTACCTATCTAGAAACAGTCACAAGTTAAATTCATGAACAAAATTCAAACAGATAGAGATGTCAACTTAATAATCAATAATAAAATTTTTTAAAGAGATTAAAAAAAAGATTACTAGAAGTGAACTTATATTTTAAAATAAAATTTTATTTTAATGTAGTTTCTATGAATATTTTTCTAATTGACTATTTCATAGAAAATCCCCAAAATTTAAATCACTAACATCAAATTAAATTATTTGTAGACAGTTTAGAGACATTCAAATTTATATCAAACATTATAATCTTTATGAACCCCTAAAATAACACTTTCAAAGTAAAATAAAATAACAGCGTCCGTTTCTAGCTTTTTGTTTTTTTTTTACAAAGAAAATTAGTGACATCTTCTCTCTTAACTTCCTCCTCTCTATGGGTTTTTTCTTCTCTACCCCTTTGATATCAATTTCTGTTAAGTTAACCGTTTAAATGTGTCAATATCTGCTAACTCACTCACGTCTTCTCTCTCCCCCCTCACATCCTCACTTCGTTAATTTACATATGTTTAATACTGCCCGTCAAAAATGTGTAAATTTTCTTTTCATTTTTTGTTTGGAAGTAAAGTCTGATGATCCGCAGTTCTTTAAAAGGGCTGTGGTGAAATAATTTATTACATGGAATCTTAAAGTGGTCTGTTTTTATTTAAATTATTTGCTCTGGATTTACATTGAGCTCTCTGGATTTTATCCTCCTTAGGTTTACCCATACGGATTACCTAGTTTTTCATAAACTATATTTTATATATATATATATATATATATATATGAGATAGTGTGTATTAAGGCAAATTGATGACTGACACGAGAGAGTAATGGAATGCTTTTGAATACTTCCTACCACAAGTAAACTTCTGCCATGTGATGAAATAACGACAGCTGAACTCAGTAGATTATATGACAGAAACCTTAAAGACCAATGAGATTCCTCTGGAGCCACATGCATGCATATACAGACACAAAGAAAGATGCACACAGAATTTCCTTTCATAAAATTTTCTTATCATTTTTCTCCACATATTTCAGTTAAGAAAGTTTCTCCATTACACCTTAATTTTTCTTCTCTCTCATTTATCCTAGTTCATTCACATTATAATAATAATAAGCTATCAAAATACAAGGACCATGAAATTGAAATCTCAAAAATGTGGTACATGGGAACATCAACAATCCCCGTTGTAGTTGAAGCCCTCGGATTGGTTGAAAAAGATTCCAGTAGACTAATTGAAGGGATTCCTGTAATCCCATGCCTTAAAGAAATACAAAAAATTGTTCTCACAAGTACAGCCCACACCTTACGAAGGGCTTTGTCTATGTAAAATATTTTCTTTTTTTGTCAGTGGAAAATGTCATGATGCCATTTCTAACCTTAGGTCTCTGGGCGAGACCTGGAAAGAAATGTGTACACACCAGAAATCAAAGGAAATAAAATAATAATAATAATAATAATAATAAAAAAAACGGTTTCTTGGTTAGAAATTGCTATCAATTCCAACTCAAAAGTGTTTTGGGATTAAGGATTGATCGATTTGTTTTTTAAAGACTTATCAACCCTTTGTGCATTATTTAAAGTCAATGCATGCTTTGAACTGTAAGAACAATTCTTTTTTTCTTCATAATGTGATATTCACTCGCAATTAGCAATCTTTTGAGAATAACAGTGATTTTTTTTTTTCCGGATACCAGTTCTACTATTTAGCCCATAGCTGGGAGGAGAAAAGTTGAATTTATGCCTTTCCCAAAGGTATTTGCACATAAGTGAATGTAATGAACTTGACTGGAATTTGAACTTGGCTCTCCAATTTCTTATTCTGAGCCACTGTCCATTACACCATCTGCACATCCATTCAGAGATTAAAGAGAAAACTACATTGATCCTGAGTAGAAAATCATGAGAGGTGGAGAACTTAAGTCACAGTAGATACCCAAAACAAGGTGCCTCATTAAGACTCTAACCATTCATCATAACAAGAACAAATTCAGGCCCTGATTGGTGATGAAGAAACATTACTGGTTTTGGTTTCGTTCAGCAGAATATCAACCCTTGTGGGTCATTTAATATTGAAAATTAGATTTTTATTCCATAATATACTAGGAAGTTTTAAGCTTTATAATTCATAGAATATATTTGAAAATTGGTTGTACAGTTCATCTATAGGTGAAGTTGTCAGTCTAGGTTAAAGTTTGATGTATAATTTAGTTTTCCTCAAGTAGGTCAAAATGGTTTTTACATTAACATTTTTGAAACTTTAAGGCTATTCACCTTATAAAGGCATTTATGGAGAGACGCAAATCTGGTCCATTATAAAATGTTTTACTGTGTATGTCGTCTGGCATACTAAACATTTAGGTGGATCTTCATTTTTTTTTTTTTAGAAGGAATTAATGTGTGATGTTGGTATGACCAATTCTAATTCTTATTAAGACTACTTATCTACAAAAAAGCCTTGAAAGTTCATGTAATGGCTACTGATCTTCTGCCATCAGAGTAGAGATGTCAAAATACAACTTTTTTTTTTGACTGTAGAGATAAGGAAAGTTTGAATTAGATGATGAGTCTTCCTCAATCCAAGACGAAATTTATTTGATCTGATCCAGTTCTGACTGCATGGGAATGTTTAAAACTCTTCTCCTGAACTTTCTTAATAGTTTATATACATTCTTATTGTAATCCATAAGTCTTCAGAAATGTCATCAATCTAGTAGTACATTTAAATAAAGAGGAAAGCTCATCAGACGAATCACCATGAAACTATTTATAGAAAGGTACAGAGAAGCTATATTACAGCAGTGGGAAAATGGCTGAAGCCAAGATAAGAGGTCAGGATCAATAACATTGCACATTCTTTACATTTTCTGTCTATATCTCTGAGATGAGATATTATGATTATTTACATTATTCAGATTGTTGTCCTCATCTACATATTCACAACATTTTGGCCACTCTGACTTTCTGATTTATTTTGTCTACCAGGGTAGATTGTTCTAGTTCTGCATGCCATACCTCTTCCAGATGTCTCAGTTATTTCCCTTTAACTCAACTCTAAGTTTTTTGGTTCACCACTGCTGTGATTGAACTCACAACTCTTTGGGTCTAGTCACTGGATCTAACCAATGTCTTTATCCACTGGGCCATGTGTCCTTAAGGACATCTGTGTATGAATTTCTGGGATTTGAGCCTAATGTTTCAGCAACCAATTTTTTTTTTACCAGTTCTCATATTGCTATTTTTCCATTATTATTATTATTACATATTTTTTTACCAAAGCTTATATTGCAATTTTTTTGTGTTGTTATTCATTGCTTTTCTCTAGCACTCCTCATTAATGGCTCCCATATTGTATTCATTTCTATGCTTGGTTGGCTCAGGAGATTTTTGTAGCCTAGCATATATGCAGATTCTTTGTTTTTATATTTTCCAGTGATTTCTTTATATTTTATCAAGAATCTTTAAATCCATAGCAGAAGCATCAGACCAGATATGGTAGCAATATTCAAAGAATGGATGAATAGTGGATTTATAAAAGTTTAAGACAGATTCTGGAGAGAAAAATTGTCTAGCACTACACAGTGAACCAACTTTCCTAGGAGCAGACCTAGCAATTGATTCAATATAATCTTTCCCCTTAGTGTCAGTAAAACATTAGCCAAAGAAATTGCAAGGAATCATTCTCCTGGAGATTAGCATTTAGCCAATGCTGATGGAAGCCAAAAAAGGTTCTTTAAGACAATTTCTTTTTTGCAAAACAGAATCTTTGTTATATGTAATAATTCAAGTTTATATTTACAAAAGAAAAAAAAAAAATTAAAATAACAAGGATTTACCTCCAATATGGTGCTGTCTGTGAATTGTGAATTTACTCCAGTAACTCATTTCAGTTTTGTTGTAAACACGTTTTAAGGAAGCAAATGAAGGCCATGATTGAATGCCATATTCAGAAGAAAAACGAGGAATGGGAATATCGGAATCTTTCCACAGATCCCGGATGTAGTCATAGTGATGAACTAAAAAGAAAAACAGCAAAAAAAAATATTAATAAATATTAAAATTTCTTGATTTAAAAAAAAAAAAAATTAACAAACAACAACACCACCTATAAACCCATTGGGTTCCTTTTAAAAGCAGTTCATGATACAAAATGATCAGGTAACAATATTATCAATTCTAATATTAATTACACATATTTTAATTTGTATTTGCAGTACAAGTTATTGTAATAATTATTATTACTCACATTATACAATATTACTTAGATCAAACTCAGTAATCAATTAATAAATGAAAAGGTTTTCAGAATTTATCCCAATTGTAGTATTTACATTATTATAATTTCCAAAGGTGAAGCTCATTCCAAACAAAAACTGCAATTATCTCCTTAAGGAGAATCATATTTATTGAAATAAAGTATGAATGCCTCCTTTTTGGGCACTTAGTTGAATTTTTTTCTAGATAATTTCTTCAAAATAATAATTATATTTTTTTTACTATACATAACTTTTTTTCTTTTTCACACTTATTTCAAAATATGTAATGGCAGTAAACCAGCGTATACTTATTTATTTACCATCAAGTCACGTGACACAATTTTCTAGCCATATGTATTATGTTTTACACACCCACATAGTGTCTTCATCTACCAAATAATTGCTAAACACCAGAGATATTTGTTATAATAAATATTCTAATGTAGTGTAGTGAATTGTATAAATATATGTTGTGTTATTCATATTTAAATAATGTATTATGAATATTATTTTTCACAAATATAATAGTTGGAATATAATATGCAAATATGTGTTGATTGATATAAGAATGTGTACTGAAAATAAATATATGAAAATATATCTTATTCAAAATTCCATAAAAACAGAAAAATGGCTCTAGATCAAGAACCCCTTGTCTAATTTTAATGAAATTTGGCACAGCACTCAGCAAGGGTTCAAGATAAAATATGCTTTTAAATTGGTTAGGGTATTATGTATCATTTAAACTGCATCTTGAGAAAAAAAAAAAAGAATATATATATATTTGGTGACAAAGATGAGGACAATAATGTACATAATACCTCATCTCAGAAACATAGACAGACTCTGAAGGATCGGTATGGACCCGATATACCAAAAATATGGAGACAAATTGAAAAATCCCACCAGAAACTGGCACAAATATCGAACCATCTGACATTCCTACACCGATGCAGAGACCCACAACTCATCCCTTCAAGCTTGGCACCAAGACTTCCCGTTAATTCAAGGAGAGCTCGTTGGGTCGCAGAGAAAGCGGGACACGCCCTTGTCTGAAAGAGAATCCAGTACAATTGTTGGATAAAACATCGACTACAAGCTCATATCTCCCAGACGCTTGAGGATTTCCTCAACAGAATTACTAATGAAGAAAACCAGAGAAGGATCCAAAATGACCTGGATAAATTCTTCAGACATGAATTTGATGTAGTCAAGGCTCACCAAGTGCAAAAATGAAATAGAAAAAGATCAGAAGGTGATTCATTAGGTCCATCATGAGCAGAATATGAGCACAAGGTCCACCAGTGAAAGGCATTAATCAACATCAGCCAATATCATTGAATCTTGAGGAGTCAATTGAATAAGGATCTCACACACAACCATCAGGCGAGTGCCATACTTGGACATCATTACCAGAGTCGAGGAGGTGGCCTTGAACATCCCTCAGGCTTAGGCGGATGAACTGAGATGGAAAGTAAGACAGACCTCGGAGAGAGCCAAGCCGCCCAGGTCCAACATAACAAAACTGGAGAGGCTGGCGATTGGATCCCTACAGAGGAACGAAAACATCATCATACTACTGGCTGACAAAGGTAATGTGACTGTAGTGATGGATAAATCAGATTATACAAGAAAACTGGAAGACCTCATTAGCAATGGTAGCTACAGCAAAGTGAAAAAGGATCCTACAATGAAAACAGAATGCAAACTGTCACAGATCCTAATCAAGAACAAGGATCACTTCACACCTAAGATATATAGGCAGTTATCGCAGCATTAAACCAAGCTACCGCACATATACGGTCTCCCTAAGATTCACAAAGACAGTATTCCGCTCAGGCTGATTGTTAGTTACCAAGGCTGTGTGTGCCACCCTCTGAGTCACTTCCTTGTAGATATAATTGACCCATTGATCGAAAAGTCCATTTCATGGAAATAATCAAAGATGTTCCCATCCTATCCAAGTAGATGGTGAGCTTGGACGTGGTGAGTTTGTTCACCAACGTACCCACGGAGGAGGCACTCTCAGTAGTCAGAGACAGAGTGGCCTCTGACTCTTCCCTAGAATAACGGACCAGTATTCCAATAGATAATCTGATGGAGATGTTGACTTTCTGTACACAAACAACACACTTCATAATGGGATCACACATATATCAACAGGATGAGGGCTTAGCAATGGGCTCGCCATTATCACCAGCAATGGCGAATATATACATGGAATACTTTGAGGAAATGGCATTAGTATCTATATCTCTAAAGCCAACTATATGGTTCATACTCTGGCCACACCAGGGAGATGTTCAGGTTCTACTGGACCATGTGAACTCAATAAGACCTTCGATACAGTTCACAATGGAGAAAGAGAGTAACAACACACTCTCATTCCTGGATGTTCTAATATCTCGAACAGAGCATGGGTTCAAGACATCCGTATATCAGTAAACCAACATTCACCGGACAGTACCTCAATTTCAATTCCCACCATCCATACAGTGTAAAGAAAATGGATCGTCTGTTGCTTACAACACTATGAAAGCAAAAGTCATAAGTGGTGACCCAGAGACATTAGATAAAAAAATTAGTCAGTATAAGTAGTACCCTACAATGTAACAACTACCCTGGGTACATGGCAGGAACCCCCAAAAACTGTGATAGGCAGAAAATTCGTAAACTTAAGGAATCAGCACATATGCTAGGCCACAAAAATCTCCTGAGCCCACCAAGCATAGAAATAAATACAATATAGGAACCAGTAATAAGGAGTGCCAGAGAAATGCGATAATAACAACAAAGTTGCAATATGAGATCTGGTAAAAACATGCAATGATAACAGCAAAAATTGCAACCCCCAAAAACTGTGATAGGCAGGTACAAGAGGAGGAGGACAACACTCAGAAAACAGTCTGCCTGCCTTATGTGAAGGGGTTATCAGAGAAAATACAAAGGATCTGTGGTCCATATATCAGGACAACCTTCAAAAGCTTGACGACACTTCGCAGATATCTCTCCAGAGTAAGACCCCTTATAGAGGAGAACATGACTAAAGACTGTGTGTACGCTATCCCATGCAGCTGCAGAAAGGAATATAAAGGAGACACAGGCTGCCCCCTTAAGGTAAGGCTTCACGAACACCAGAAAGCTGTAACACGAAGGGAAGTAGAAAAATCAGGCATGGCTGACCCCATATGAAGAGAGAAGGGAGATCACCGCCCTCTGTGGGATCATGTTGAGATCATAGACAAGGAACACCATTGGAAAATTTGTAAACTTAATGAATCAGCACATATGCTAGGCCACAAAAATCTCCTGAGCCGACCAAACCGACATAGAAATAAATACAATATGGGAACCAGTAATAAGGAGTGCCTAAGAAAAACAATAACAACAAGGTTGCAATATGAGATCTGGTAAAAACATGGAATGATAACAGCAAAAATTGCAATATGGTAAAATTGGTTGCTGAAGACATTAGGTTTATAATACCCAGAAATTCATATCCAGATGTCCTCAAGGACACATGGCATTGGTTAGATCTAGTGACAGGACCCAAAGAGTGTGAGTTCAATACCCGGTTAAGGTAGTGGAGAACTTTCAGAGGGAAATTAGCAGGAGATAACTGATAACTGACATCCATCAAACATGGCATGTGGAACTAGAACAGTCTACCCCAGTGAGCGAAATAAAGGGTACAGTTCGAAATTCCAACCACCTGAAGAAGGCTGGAGCATACAACAGCCGCAATGTTGTGATAAATATGGCGACAAAGACGAGGACAATAATCTGAATAATATATATATATATATATATATATATATATGTATATGTATCATTAAATAATATAAACAAGTTTTGTTTATTTATTTTAAGTAAGTTCCTTTCATATTCTCTGATAAGCTTAATAACATTATCATTGAAGGATGAAAGGAAATCACCATATTGATACATGTTTAAATCCAATCTAAGCTTTCGGCTTACATAAGCCATTATCAAAGATGACAATTACATTTCAATATATCAAACAATATATATATATATACAGACACACAATTTGATTTTTAGTATTATATAGATAACTCCAAAGTAATATCCAAATTTCACATTGCCGAACTGGAGTGCCTTGCAGTGATTATATAGTCGTAAGTTTATGGAAAATGCCAGTGAAATCCCAAATGTAAGTAATTAAAATTGCCTCCCAAAAACTAAGCAAAGTATTAAGCAAAGTATTAAGAAACAGGAAAAGTTTGTTCGAAACAAAAAAGACAGTGTTGAACTGCTATGTCATATCTATCCTTGTATATGGCAGTGAATGTGGGGCAGTTTCATCTTGGATGAAGAAGAGAGACTTTAGGCGACAGAATTCTACAGGAGGATGCTGAGAATATCATGAACAGAAAATGTGAGTAATGAGGAAGCTTTAAGGAAAATGGGAACCAAATGGTTGCTTTTACTTAAAATCAAAAAAGAGTTAAAGTTTCCGAAACTTAATGAGGAAAGAGAATCTAACATTTACAGGACATATTAAAGGCAAGTAGTACAGTGAGTAACCTAATTAATGAGCTTGTGTAAACAGGATCTAACTAACGCCTTTATCCACTGTGTCATATATCCTTGAGGAAATCTGTGTATAAATTTCTGGGTACTATAAACCTAATGTCTTCAGCCACCATTTTTTACCAGTGCTCATATTGCAATTTTTGCTGTTATTATTGCATGTCTTTTGCCAGAGCTCATATTGCAATTTTCATTGTTGTTATTGC